ATGCTCACAGATTTCTTGGATTCTCTTACTGTCAATATTGAATAAAAATAATATATCACATGATTTTAAGGACAACACAGTGTGAAATAGATTGCTAAGCGTTTATTACTAGTTATAATATAGTTATCATAGTACGCGCTCTCTGATTGACCAAATGTTATTGTTTATTTCACCGGTAAATGCACAGATACGAAGATACTATAATATAAAAGCAATAAACAACATATTTTCGTGTGTTCCTAGTGAAATAAAAAACTTGGGATATTGGGAAAAAAACTCAAAAGGTTGTTTCGTGTTCTCCCAACATCCCGCGTGGATTATTTCACCAGCAACGCACGAAAATGTGTTGTTTATTGCTTAAGTAAATATTGTAATAAAATGAGTATTTATGGGTATAGTTACTTTTGGCTATTCGTAACAAATATACACGACCCTTTGACGTCATACTGCTCTCATCGCCATGTGAATAACAAAAAAAGGGTTATCACGTCCCCGAAACTTGTACACAACATTTATGGTTATTTTTGGCTATACGGAATGCTTATACACGACCCTTTGAGAGCATACTGCTCTCATCGCCATGTGAATAACAAAAAAGGTTAGCATGCCAAAGAAACTTGGATATAACATGACCTAACAAGTCAATTAAGACGAGACATACAAATGATTAAATTTACAAAAAAATGATTAACAAATGGATGAATGGAAAAAAAAAACGAATAAATGAATAAAATGGAAAAAGAGGGAATAAACTCTTGAGGTCGGTTATATGAAGGGTGAGTCAATAAAGTTATYAAGTCCATTGAATACTCCTGTTTCGCATTCTCTTCTGTGCAAGCTTATTTTCAATAAAGTATAAATATTTATTGTCTTTGTAGACAGAGTGTTCGCATTACAATAGGATCTCTTCTGAATAAAAGAATTCATCATATAATTATCTATGAAATACCAATATTTCTCCATTTCGTAAAATTGATATTTTCACTAGTGAAAATAACACATTCGAGGTTTGTCTATATAATGCAAGTAAGAAAAAAGGTATTTTGCGACATAATTTACTTTCATATAAAATTATATGATAAATAGAATATTACATGTTCGCTTGTGGATACGAATTTTATCTTCTACGCTCACTCGTGAGAGATATTTTCAACACTCGAAGATAAAATCCGTATCTCCACGCGCCCATGTAATATCCTTTATTTATTACATGCTTTCGAGGTTAGTGCTGCACAATTAAGATCTTAAAACTGCAGCATTTGCTTAGATTTTATCGGCACTGTTCGCCCTTTGTACAATCAGCCCCCGCATGACGCTATCCGTGTCTCACCTCTCGTGTATTTTCCTTTGATGCTATTTTACTAAATATCTCAGCTAGTTTTGAGTTAAGCTTGGCCACGGGCGGCTGGCTRGAGTTCTGAGACAAAACAAAGCACKAGTTAGACAGAAAATATTTKTAGTATTAACGGTACAATSGTAGCGATCACGTACCGGTCAAGAAAACACGTACACGGGCACTCTATAGTATACTGACCTAGATGGGTTTTCATTAACCCGTGAAACACACTTTAGCGTATTTATCGCTATTACACTTTGTCTCTTTTGTTTTTTATTGTCTCTACGCGACTTTTACGATCTGATAAACTCTAATAACTATTACACTTTGTTTCACGGGTTTATGACTTTTTTACACATGAAAATTCAAATACCATGATGCATTTCGGCGACAAAACAAACATTACGTCATTACAGGAAGGACATATAGTCTTATTCACGGTTCCCTGCGCCATCTTGAAAGGTAACCGTGCCTTTGCATCGAAGCGAGACAATCGTTGAGCGTGCAATCATAGAAACCTTCTTTATCATCTACAGACAATCATTCACAGGTATCTATCGGTACACGCTCAACGGTTGTCTCGCTTCGATGTAAAGGCAAAAGCTATCTTTCAAGATGGCGCAGGGAACCGTGAAGGAGACCATTGCCCTTCTGTTTCTCCAGTTATTTTGTACTACACCAGTCAAACAGAATGTATAAATCATCCAACTCTTGGCATTACATGCAAAATACAGAACCCCAATTTTAAAAACGATGACTATTTACCTCGACACCTTGTAGTAAATCAGGTTTAGCAGACGGTTTTCGCGTTGAATCGTCTGCACTACCATTAATCTGTGAGCTGGTAGACGGTCTATAGCCAGTCTTAAGTACTCTATGTAAGTAAGCTGTCACTTCGCTTTTATCAGAATCTTCGATGAGATTGGTACAGGCCAATATCTGTACGATTGATAAATATAAACGTAGAATAAGTTAGACGCAAAAAAAAAAAATGGTTTAAGGATCATTGGTGTATGCACTTGGGTACACTTGTAAGATTGCTCTCCCGTCACCCGTTTCTCACTCAAAGACACAATACGAAGAACGAACGACGAACGAGGAAATACCGAAGATCTAGCGACGAACAAGGAAATACCGAAGATCAAGCGATGAACGAGGAATAAGCGGCAAACCGCTCGACTTTCTCACATATTAAAAATCCAAGCAGTTGTGATCCAATCAGTCAGTTATACTAAAACGATATTTTGAAACATTTTACTTRGACAGTTCGTTCAAATTCTCGTAGATGAATAACAATTAATAATAAAAAACTATTATGAATTTGCTTTTTACCACAAAAATATTCTATAATTAGATGAAAATGGACCAATCAGAATGCGAGAATTGTTAATATACACTTACATCGATGCCTTTTAGTTTGGCAAGAGAGTGAAGTATAGTACGTATCGTTCTCAGGGGGGTGTCGTCCGCACGGTCTTTCCATACTTGTGGAGGGTGGGCTATTAAGAATTTATGGATGTCTAATAGAACTTGGTCGACTTTGACATCATCGATGATTTGAGGAAGAGAGCGGACCATCTTCCATAATGCCTGGTGAAAGAAGAGAATATGAACATYAATGCTTGGTTTGGTGATTATAAGCTAAT